TAATAATAATAATAATAATAATAATAATAATAATAATAATAATATTAATAATAATAATAATAATAATAAAATATCGTACGATCTTAGGGTTCGAGGATTACAAGGTCGCTTTGATTTAAAAAAAAACAATATTCGCTGACAAGTTAGGAAAAAAAAAGAACAATAAATTTGTAAAACCTTGGGCTTTCTCACTCACACATACACACTTTTCCTCTCATTCTTTATCTCGATTTCTCCTATAAGCTCGATGATTTAAACATAATCAAAATACATGAAAAGTACGCGGAAATATAAATTTCGCAGTAGACGGGAAAAAAAATCGCGATTCGACGGAAAATATAAAATTTTTAATAATAAGCCGAAAAAAAATACAAAAAATAATTAAAATAAAGATTAAAGAACGACCTGTTAGTTTTTCTTTTTTTCTCTCGACAAAATTCTTCATCGCGTACGATGATTCAGTGATATTTAGTCGTAAATATATATATATATCTATTTATGTAATATATATATAAATTTATTTTATATATAAATATAGTGTGTGTGTGTAAAAGGAATAAAGTAATCGATCATTATCGTACTCAGAATTTTTCTTTCATTTTTTCTTCTCATTTTCATTTTCATTTTCATTTTCATTTTCATTTTCATTTTCATTTTCTTCTTCATCTTCATCTTCATCATCTTCTTCATTTTTTATTCGATTTTCTATCTCTCTCATTCAGGTACCTATTCACCAATTCATTCATTCATTCATTCATTCATTCGTTTAGTCATTCATTCATTCATTCATTTATTCGTTCATTCATTCATTCATTTATTCGTTCATTCATTCATTCATTCATTTCTTTTTCCCTGCTAAATAGGAGTTTGTACAACAACATATTGTCTTTAAAAGAAAATTTCATTTACTTCAGAATATCTTTTTCTTTTTCTCTCTATTTATCATCATCAAAATTGTGAATCATCATTTTTGCACGGAAAAAGCGTGTCAGAAATGAATAACAAATTGGAAAAATCCTGAATGAAAATAAAACACGCGTTTTCCGTAAAATCGTTTAAAAGAATAACGGTATAGAAGAGATTTCAAATCGTCGATATTGATTAAAAATATTGTTGAAAAAGTAAAAAAAGAACGAAGTTCAAACGTTAATTATCAGCACGATCATGCTGTATAACTGTAATATCAAAGAACATGTGCGAATCCTATTACACGTTAATATTCATTCATTTATCGATAAATTTATCAAGAATTTCTCATTGAACCCTTCATGGGACTCGTGTAACTTTCAATTCGTATATCAATAAATTCATATTATTATTTAATTTAATTTTCTTTTCCAATATATGGTACGCATATATATATATATAATATTTCACAATTTTTATTTTATAACCAATAAAAAGATTCTTTACACACCCCGATTATCAATAATAATTCAAAATATAAAAATAAAATTCAAAATCTTTGAAAATTGTTCATTCATAAATATTTTTTTTTGTTCATTCCAAATTCTATAAATTCATTTATAATCATGGAAAAAAAATCACGAACAATCTATCTCTAATAGAGAGAGTTAAACAATTTTATAATAGAAAAATTCCTTCTTTAAATATATATATGTATTATTTATGAAATTTATTTGAACAAACTCTTTCCCTGAAATAATCTGCCTCTTTCTTTCGTCTAAATTCATACTTGCATGCAATCATGCACACATACACATCCTCATCCTTGCCTTCAAACACACGCATACACACAAAATTATGTTTCATTCCATTCCCGTTGTGTGTTGAACCGTTCTTTCACCCTTTGTTTTCATATTTTAATTCATAATGAACTATAATAAAGTTATTAACTGTACGTATACTTTAATATGTTGATAAAATAACGATTGTATTTTAGACACGCGGTCGCTTTTCGTTTTCTCGGTCGGAATCAGAGTCCGCTGAATCGTTGAGAGGGGGAAATTCGGGAACAGCCTCGCGTTGCTGCATCCATCCCGCCGCCCCTGGCCCCCCAGTCAATGCCTTGCCCTGCGTCATTTTTTGCCATTTTTTCAATTGATTTTTAACCCACTCTTTAATAAAAATAAAAAAAAGCCCCGTGATGGTGGTGGTAGTGGTTGTGGTGATGTGTGATGACTAAAGTGCGTGTTCATTGGTCACTAAAAGCTTCGACGAAGCCACGACTCGATTAGCTAGCTTCTATTTTTTTCTTTTTTTTTTTTTCTTTTTTTTCTTCTTCTTTCTCTCTCACTCATACTCAAGCACATAGCATAGCCACACATACACTCTTTCTTTATATGTATCTATGTATGCATGTATATATATATATATATATGTTCCTCAGTTTTCTAATTTCGATTAACACAAATTGTGATTACTGGACTAAGTCAACAAAAAAAAAAAAACTACAAAAAATTATTCCAGAAAAATGAATTTTATTATTTATTTAATTAAATAAATGTGACAGAAATAAACTTCAATCGTCGTTTGTTTTGATTACAGGTGAAAAATGATTGTTAAGTTAGTGTCGATATAATTTAGAAAATTAATATCAATGTCAAATAAAAAAAAATAAAATAAAATACAATAATAAAATGTATTTTCAACTAATCAAATTCCGTAATGAATTCCTCTACGTCCTACTATGTCAAAATCAAACCCTACTCTCTTTTTTTAATCTAATTCATACGCATGCTTCATCCTTTTTCCTTCTCTTTCTCTCTCTCTCGTTATTTTGCCCTTCGTTTGACTTAAAAAGGAATAAAAACAAAAAAAGAAAATAAATAAATAATCTTGAAAAAAGAATGATTTCTTCTTTTCACTATAATAATGATGATGATAAGAAAAAAAAATAATTAAAT